TTTTTTTTTTTTTTTTTTTGGTGTCAGTTCCGTGTGTATGTAGAACTTACCATACTGTGTATCAGCCACCTCCACGATCAAGACATAGAACTGTTCAACCAATTCTCTCACCCTCATAAGTTCCCTCATGCTGCCTCTTTGGAGTCAAACCCTCCCTCCAGCTTCAGCCCTGGCAGATGCTGATCTGTTTTCTGACTCTACAACTTTTTATTTCATCCAGAATGTCATATAAGTGCAGTCGTGCAGGGTGAAGCTGTTTTGAGTCTGGTTTCTAGCATTTACAGTTCATTCATGTTGCATTTATCAAAAGATCCCCTCACCCCCTTTTTTTAAATTGCTGAATAGTATTTGATTGTGTGACTTCACTAGGTATAGCTTATTCATTCCTCAGTTGCATGACATTTGGACTGGGAAATCAATTATATTAAATACAGTTATCAAAATACTGAAAAACATTTTGTTGGACTGTATGGGCTTCTCTGCTGGTGCATTGAGGGCAGTGGTGGCTCAGTGGTATAATTCTTGCCTTTCATGGAGGAGACCCGGGTTCACTTCCTGGCCAGTGCACTTCACGCACAGCTACCACCCACCTGTCTGTGCAGGTTGGTGTCTGCGGAGGCTTCTCAGAGCTTCCACACTGAGGTGGACTAGCAAGAAAGACCTGGTGATCTCCTTTCGATGAGCAGCCAGTGAAAACCCTGTGGATCACAGTGATCTTGTTCTGTTGCACCTGGGGTCTCCACAAATCCAAGACCAGCTCAGAGGCAGCTAACAACATTATTAATGCATTCACCAAGAACGTCTAGCGGTAGGTCTGATGCATCCTCAGGTTCTGAACAGTAGTGACGGTGGTAATAGAGACATCACCAGATATTCCATTGGCAGATGAAAATACCTATGAGTTGGTCACAGAGTCCCAGGTACGATTAAGTCTACTGTGGGTTGCTGCCTTCATTTGCAATTGGAGGTGCTGATTAGTGAAAGTAAAGGTATAATTGTTTCTCCTCCAAGTTCACTGGATCCCTGAACTCTGTGCATTCCTGCCCTTGGACCCCAGGTTAAAACTCCAGTCTTTTAGGGCAAGGTTTTGAGCAAAGGTGTGACGTATCTGCAGCTGCATTTCTAAACACCAACTCTGGCTTGTTTAGTGGAGAATGGATTGTCAGGGGTGAGGGGCTCCCTGGAGTGAAGCCAGAGGGCCAGCGGGCCACTGTTGCAGTGGCCTGGCATGAGGTGGTGGATGCTGGACCAGGTGAGCATTGGGTGAACAGGGGATGGACCTTGGAGGCAGAGCCAGGGGGAGGTGCTGTTGCGTGGGTGTGAGGCAGGAGGGAGGTGGGCCACACTGAGGAGGATGAACAGAGGAGGATGCAGGAGACAGAGGGGCAGGTAGTTTTCTGGCTGGAGCCACTGGGGGGTGAGGGAGGGGCCAGGAGTGACCTGCAGCTCCCCAGGAGTCTGGCTCGGGACAGCCTTCGCTGTTTGCCTCCAGTAGGCAGCTCTGCTCATCCGGAGTCTGGCTATCATGTTTTCTTTTTTCTGGGAAAAGCAGTTTAAAGTTTAATAGTCTCTCTGATTATTGCATCATGTGTAAAATGAAAGCTGTAGTCCCAAGTATCAGGAATGAAGTAAAACTCCTTCAATCACTATTCTGATGAAGTGCTTTTAAGAGAAAACGTGTGACCTTAGGTAGATAAAAGTCTTTCTGTGAACCTTCATTTCTTCAGAGAGGATATTAATCCTGTTGTGGAGCAGTGGGGGGTGTGGTGGCATGACTTAGTGCACACAAGTGTAGCAGATGCTCAGTAAATGAGAGCGGTCAGCACAGGAGAATAACCCACAGGAGAATAACCAGTGATTGTGGTGCCTGCGATTTGAGCCGTGATGCTTCTAACTCTAAACCAAGGGTGGTGCCTAGAGGCCAGCCAGCTGCCTTGCTGTTTTTTTTGTGTGTGTGATTTACAGAAGAAGCTTATTTATCATGCAGTAGTTCATACATACTCCGTTTCATGACATTGACTGCAATCTCTACAGTGTAACACCTCTCTTCCCACGTCTTCCCTATAGGTACCTCTTCCCTGTGTCCTTCTTTGCTATGCATTCCTGCCCCCTGAGCTATCTCCCTGTGCAAATACTGCCTTTCTGTTCTCCCATGATTGATTGTTCTAAGGAGTGTACCTACCTAGTGTAAGTGTTCACCTTATGTGCCTGTCTGTTGTTTGGCTGAAAGTCACAGGAGTGAGTTCAGTTCTAGGCCTGAGGGTAACTAGGGGCCATAGTCTCAAGGACTATCAGTTCAGTCTCTAACAGACTAGTAAGGAGCTCTGGTAGCACAGTGCCCAAGGCATTTGACTGCTAATCAGAAGGTTGGCAATTCAAACCCACCAGCCACTCCGCGGAAGGAAGACTGGACAATCTACTTCCATAAAGATTTACTTGGAAACCCAGTGACGGTCACTAGGACTCGAAATTGGCTCGATGACTGTTCTGGTTTCCTAGTGCCACTCTAACAGAAGATACTTTTAATGGGATGGCTTGAACAAACAGGAGTTTATTTTCTTACAGTTTGGAGGCTTTAAGTTGAGTTCAAAGTGGCAGGCTCTAGGGGCTGGGTGAAAGCCCCTTAGCCTGGGCTTCAGTTCTGCCTCCTGCTCCCGGCCCACTGGAGCTAGAGGCTTTTCTTCACTCAAACAGCTGCTGTCTGCTGAGACTGACAAGCCCAAGGGTGACAAGTGAAAAGGCACAGTCCCCCTGTTACCAAACCACATGGTAGCCATTCATTCAAGTCCATTGAGAGTCCCAAGGGAGGCAGAGCATGGCATGCTGCTGAATGACGACACAGCTTCTTGCAGGGTTCAAGCGGTGCCATAAGCTAGAGACCATTCCCTAAACTGTTTCTTATATACAGGAAGCAGACCACATACCCAAAGCAGCTACTCA